TAAATCCATAATGCCACCTAGGGACATTTATAAGGGTAAGATAAGTTTTCAAAGATGTTTACATGTGGTATCTTTTAGCTTTACATGTGATATCCTTTAGCATCATATAACCTTGTCCTTTGCATTGCATCCTAGCAAGTAGATAGTTTTTAAATTCCAAATTTTTTATTATTTGCTTGCTTTGGATGTGTTGTCATCAATCACCAAAAAGGGGAGATTGTAAGAAAAATAGACCCTAGGCCCAATTATTTTGGATTTTGGTGCTTGATGGCCAACACAACCAAATTGGACTAATGAATTTGCAAGTAATTGTTTTGTAGTTCAATAGGGTGCAAGACATGACTTGGACAAACGCGACATGATGATCCCACGATCAACACCATAAGTAAGACCCTAGAAGCACAAGAGAAGATCTAAGATATCAAGCAAAGTCCAAGCACGAAGATGGGAACCAAGCCAAACGCAAGATCTCGAAGAAACGAGCCCGGCAGAGGTGACCGGACGCGGCCCTATGAGTGACCGGACGCGTCCGATCAAGTTGCGCGGCAACAGCAAGCGTCAGCAGGCGACCGGACGCTGAAGAAGAAAAATGACCGGACGCGACGATGGCACTGTTCATCATCTCGGCAACACCTTCAGCGCGACCGGACGCGGCGGCACTGGATGGCCGGACGCATGAAGTGCAGCGTCCGATCGAGTCTAGAGAGGTTCCAGAGCGACACCAGCGTGACCGAACGTGTGCGATCGAGTGTGACCGGACTCGGCCCAAAGGCCGATCAACGCACGCGCTCCAACTGTCGGGACAAGTGGACGCGTCCGATCAGGACGAAAGCAGCGTCCGGTCAGTAGCAGAAAGCTGAGTTTAGTCCCCAGCAGCTACTTTCTCAGTGGGGCTTATAAATAGACCCCCTAACCGGCCATTTGAGAGTGTGGAGCTGAGGAAACATACCAAGGATGTTGATACACCATTTTAGTGATCTCCACTTGTATAGTGCTTAGTGATTCATTAGATGATTAGCATAGGTGCTTTTGCGAAGTGTTTAGGTTGATTAGACCACCACTTATGCTCTTGCTCTAGGTTTAGGCCTAGTGTTTAGTGAGGTTTGCATACCTCTTACCACTCGGTGCTTGCGCGCACCATTGTTGTACATCGGAGGGGCTTATAGTCTTGCGAGATCATACCAACTGCGTTTGTGGTGTGGCCACCACCGTGTACCGAAGGGAACAAGGCCCGCGGCGGTTTGACCGAAAGCTTGATAGTGAAGACGGCGGGGAGCGGTCCGGAAGAGGCTTGCCGGAAGGCACACCAGAGACCCACTTGCACGTGGAGAAGGCCCGTGGCTATCCACAAAGTTATCCGACCAGGAGGTTGGCCCCTTGCGAGGGATTCCTTGCGAGGGCTCCAACGAGGACTAGGGAAGCTTACACGCTTCTCGATACATCGGTAAAAATACCGGAGTCATCGATAGGAGTTTGCATATCTCTACCTTACTCTTTAGCTTATGCATTTATATTGTTTGCATAACTCTTTTTGCGGTAGAGATAGCAACACACTAGCAAAACCATAGTTGCACATTTAGATAGTTTATCTTTTGCATAGGTTTTGCTAAGGTTAGAATTATAGGCCATAGTTTAGAGTTAGAGGTTTAAGTTTCTCTAATTCACCCTCCCCCTCTTAGGCGTCACGGTCCCCTACAAGGATACTTTGAGCTGACTCTTGTGTGTGGAAACCTCCTGGTGGGCTCAGAGAGAATTCCTTTCATGCTACGACCGTAGTGTTTTTTTATAACCCTCACTAAAGGTTTTTACAAGAAAAGATGTAAAATCTGCTAGCATCTCTGGTATAAAAATATTCACTATGTTAATACTCCACCATATCATTACATTAATCCAGCTTTCTCTGTAACTGATAATATTGTTATATTCCGTTGTTATAATAAATTGAGGTAATATGTTGTACTGTAATAAAGTGATATAAGAAATGACTTAAGAATGTTGTAAGTTTTATTCTCTTATTTATGATCCTGATGGAAAAATATGAATTTTGAGTTCTCTCTTGGGGTATGCTCGACGGAACTGCGTAGTTTAGTGTCCTCTCTTGAGTACTTAGTGTCTAATGGAAGACAAGTACTCTTGAGAGGTATTAGATTAGGCAGTTCTGTCATCAGGTTGCCACCCACAGCGGCCGAACATGGCCTTAACGGCTCGACGGTGGGAAAACTCCAAAATTAGAGCTCGACTGGGCGCCATTCAAGGCGGGGTGGGAATGGGTAGCTAGGCAGCTTGGTGACTGAGCCAGCGACGCGATGAATCGACTCGAGGTGATCTCTCCCTGACGAATTTAATGGTGCGGCTCGGCCATTGTAGCAGAGAGGGAGAGAGAGGTAGGTGGGCTCAGCTCGGCCTCGTCTTGGGGCGACGCGGTCGACGTGATCTAGAAGACACATGCACGCAGATTCTATGGACAAAACGCATGCGTCCACGATCGGACACACTGCTTGCGGCCGTAGTGCCATAAATGACAAAACGACGACGATCACAGCCATGTGCGCGCAGCAATGGCGGGCATCGGACCAGGCCAGCAGCGGCACAAAAGTGAAGGAGAGAAGTGCGAGTGCGCGATGGGCGGCGATAGCACTAGCAGCTGCGCTGCCTTGTCGGAGGATAGCTGGCGAACTGCCAGCCGGTCGACTCGGTGAATCTTCCACGGTGCAAGCGAGGAGGCAGCAAACGCACCGCGAGGCGGCGAGGAGCGCGCAGCGGTAGGGGTACTGACGGCGGGGGGCGGGTGGGCGGGTGCCGCCAGCGCGGTGGCAATGACTAAGTAGGAAAGGGCTAAGCGGCCGGCGCTGCGCCCAAGGGTGACCAAGCCACGGCCAGACAGAATGTGGCCTTGGCCGGCTGACGTGCGGCCACGCACGGTGACCCCGCACCCAGGCCCGACGGCCCGAGCCTGAGTGCGTGCATGAATTTGAAAGGGTCCGTAAAAACTAAACGATTGATCTTAGAACCAAGCCACCTTCACCGTGCTCAAGAGAGTATATTAAGCTACCCCTGAGAACTAAAACATGGTACTAATCTTTAACTAGATTTCTCGGAATAATTTCGCAAACCCGGTGTTGCCAAACTGTTTTTAAACTTACGAATTTTCTAAGTCTTTAAGCTAGTTTTTTATTTCAAGTTCTATTTCTAAGCTATTGGGAACACTAGCTAGCAATGTTATTTTTATACAGCAAAGGTTGCATTGCCATCTACAAAGTTTATACTTCAAGCTTTATTTTGGTACCACACACATGTTCTATAATATTTTTGCTCAATAAAAATTGGTTTTCAACCCTACTTGATATACATGAGCTATTGAATCAACTTTCATTTAGCATTTCTATTATTCATTTTAGGTTACAAGAAATTTATCTACACACTTTATCACGTGTATTACCACATAAACATGATGCTCATGACATGGTTAAGTAGGTTGTTAGGGTGTAACACCGAGGATGTTATGGGGTGAGGGTGCAGTGACCTTCGGCTCTAGCTCTAAGTTTAGCGCATCAGGAGGAAGTGAAGGCAGGCCCGACAACGGGGATGGGAGGTAAGTTTAGCGCGGCGGGGGAAGTGGAGGCGGCCCGACGACGGGGATAGTAGGAGGTTGGCGGTAGGCGGGGGGCAAGGGCGTGGTGAGCTTCAACGATCGCTCCGAGTTTAACACGGCGGGGGGCAGCGGAGGTAGATCTGGCGACGGCGACGCCACCAAGGACGGGAGGAGGCTGGCGGTAGGCGGGGAATAGAGGAATGTTGAAAATGACTCTGAAGCCGTACAATGAGGATCCAACGGCTGCCATTCGTCGCCCGATGGAAAGGCAAAAAATGCATGCATCTACCGTGGAGCACCCCCTAAAAAAACGTTTCACTAACTTTCAGCAAATCCTGTCTTGCTGAAAATGATTACGGTGCTCTACGTTTAATTGTTGTTATCTCAAAAACAACAAGGTGCGAAACTGCAGATAAACACCATTTTACAACCATCCGTCTCCACGATCACACTAATAAATAACAAGATAGATGAGCAAGAAGTTGACGATACTAGCGAACCATATACGTGCTCTTATTGTTCATCATCAACAATACAAGTTTAATGCAGTTGATGAAGTCCAACTTAGAGACGGTGAGAATCATGGGCAAAGACACCCTTTTTCTGTGAGAACAAACACATATTTGCAAACAATTCTTGGCGCAGAAATTACAGTTACCTCTCCCCAGATACAGAGGAAAACATTTCAACATTGATTAGGTCTATCCCTCTCCGAAGAGGAAAACATTTGGAGCACATTTCAACTCTCCGAAGAGATGGAACGAACATTTCAACGTTGTCTAGCAGGGCTTTCCCCTCTCCGAAGAGAAGGAGCCCTTCCAGAAATTCTCAGTGGCCCAGAGGGCCAAAGAGGGGGTTTGGAAATAGTTTTCAACCAGCAATTGACGCGCCTCGGTATGACCTCATAAGCTGCGTCATTGCCCCAAGCGCAAAGATAATTTGATCAAGTAGCCCACCCCCAATTCTTATACCCGCCTCCCCGTGCCTCTCCGTCTCTCCCCTTCCGAGGTGGGACTAAACGGAACAACCAGCTCCGACCTCCCGCACCGCCTCACCCTCACGAGTTGGAGTTGGGACTTGGTGCTGGGCTCGTCTCGCGCTATATTTCTTCATGGGCCCAATCCGCATCCGCTCTGCTCCCAGCTTCCCTCAGTCGGTCATCATGGGCCCGGGCTTTCACAAAATCCAACGATCCAGTCAGAATGGGAGGACGAATAAAGCCCACTTAATAATTTACTTTTATTACCAGTGGTAAAAACGTCTCCGGCGCTGCAATTTAGGAGCAGTTGGATTCAGCCTCTTGTGTCTCCACGCCCCCCCTGCCCGCAACCAAGCGTTGCCGGCGACCAGCCGCCGGAGATCGGCGGCTATCCATCCGTCCATCTCGCCGCCGCCGCCGCTTCCCGTGATGGAGAAGCGGCTAGCGTACGCGGCCTTGCTCCCACTGCTCCTCCTCACGCTCCGCATCCTGCCCCTGCCCCTTCCCTCCGGCTCCCCCAACCGCAGCAGCGGCCGCGTGGGCGACGAGGAGGAAGAAACCCCGCCCGCGTCGTCCAGGCACGTGGTGCGGTTCCTGGAGTACCGCCGCGCGGAGGAGCACCGGGAGTACCTGGACGCGGGGCTCCGCGGCGCCGTCGCCCCCGCCCCCGCGGCGGCGTGGCGGTGGGTGGAGCGGCGGAACCCCGCGGCCGCGTTCCCCACCGACTTCGCGGTGCTCGAGATCCGCGACGCGCACCGCGACGCCGTCGTGGCCGCGGTGCGGGCGCTCGGCCGCGTGCGGGACGTGCACGCCGACGCCACCTACTCGCGGTCCCCCCTGTCGGCGTCAGCGGGGGCGCCGGATCGGCCGCGGCCGCCCCGGCGGGGGAAGCTGTTCACCGCCATGTCGTTCGAGGGGGAGGATGAGGGTGGCGGAGAGGGAGAGGCGGGCAATTCGTCTTCGGCTACTTGGGGGCGGAGGCTTCTTTTGCAGGTACACGACCTCTGCTCATGTTACGAACACCAAAGATTGGTGCAAGATTGTTTGTTTCTGTTGAGCATGTCTTTGTATTATGGCTTTGAATGCCAAATGAATAACCGTTTCGTCTTTCAGTGAAAAGCATTGGACCTGTTAATCCAAATGATGTTATTCATTGTTTTGATAATCAAGTGTTGGCAACTTAATAACTTTAGTATTAGAAGAATGGAGTTATTCCATATAGCTTCTTGATACTTGTTTACGGATATGGTCTCAGATTGTAGTAGTCTAAAATGAGTGTAGTGTACAGCTCTGAAATTATGAGATTTCTGAAATAGCATTGCTGTATGGCACTGATTTCCAACCCGGTTCATCAATGTTATAAGTAGTTGAGTGTGATACATTGAAAGCTACCAGCACCATATGGATAAGTATGAAGCTAGCTGCTATCATGCAAAGTTTTGGATTAGACTGTTGAATGCTTTATATACGTAGAACATCAAAACTTTACCTATTTTTTTGGCATTATCTTTGGAAATGGAAAATTTATATTCATCAGAGTGTCAGGTTCATGTTGAAGATATATTGTCTTTTTGTCAAATATCAGTTTTAATCACTACAATGCTGTTTCAAGCATTTCTTGCAAACTGCAAATTAGGACAATCCATCATGAAAGACACAAAATAATGAGCACCTATCTTTTAAAGTTTTAATTGCTCGGTCCATTTTGGGGATTGCTACTTTTCTGATATCAGCATGTTGAGGTGAAGTTCAGTTACCCATTGTGATTTAATTATTTAATGGTAGTTTCATGGTAATCTGACAGTTGACAATATTCATTTGACCGAGCTTCTTGACTATAATTGTAATTTTCATGTATATGATCAAAGGATATATACAATCACAATATTAATAACCAAACTCGATTGATCATTATATGATTTATGCATATGGATTCTTCAATACAATGTTAGATAGATCTGATAAATCTCCACTGTCAATGTCCATAATTTGTCGGTTGACATGGACCTATGCTTTCATGTTTTAATAATATTATATAATATTTGCATTTGACAGAGATCACAAGTTACATCACTTTTTGGAGCTGAACGATTATGGGGAAGAGGCTTCACTGGCAAGAAAGTCAAAATGGCCATTTTTGACACTGGTATTCGGGCTGATCATCCACACTTTCGCAATATTAAGGTATACTGTTACATTTGTTTTCATCGACAATGGTCTTAACATACCAGTATAAGAAGTTCAAAAGGCATGAATTTGGAAGGTAATGAAGCAGACCTTGAAGTAAGTGCATGCTGCTGGTCTGGTCTTGACTCTTGAGGCCCTGTTTGGCACCACTTATTTTCATGCTGCCTCTGCCTGCACTGTGCCCTCCCTCGACGAGATCCTTCACTGCTGCCCGAGCTAGAATCAAGATTCTCGGCCCGCTCGCTTGATGCCTGCGCCACCCATTGTTGAGATTTGTTTCGCCTGAGGCCACTTCTCTAGCGAGATTTGCTTTCCTGAGGCCCCTCCACAGCCCAAGCTCTTGGACTCTGTGGAGTCATTCCACTGCTGAGAAGCTTCCCCTCACTTCTACTCTGTTGGCCCCCACTCCTGCTATGGCTCTATGTGTGTGCTCCTCCCCAATCACAACTCGAGTCCGCTCGAACCCAGATGTCGGAGCCCTCTGCGGCCACGATCGAATTCCCACTTGATCAAGCTCTTGCCATGGGAGCTGACGACTGATCCAGGGTGGTGCAATGCGACTGCCGGCAACCACCGCTCCAATCGGCTGAGAGGGATGAATGAGGCTGAGCTCTCAATGACACCTGGGTCCCACAGGCGAGGTCCCATGAAAAAGCTGGAGAAAGCTAGGCTGCCAAACTATAGCTTTTATAGCCTTTTAGGCTCGTAGCTTCTTCAGAAACCTGCTTTTCACAGCAGCTGTCTGTAAGCTAGTTTATGCTGTTATACATAAGTTTAAATTGTGCTGAACAGGGCCTGAATAACATTTGTAATATCGTACCACTGTGTGGTGTCATTTCCTTCCATTTTTCTTACCACATTAGCACTTTATCTGTTGCATTGATTCATGTCAAAATCAAATAGTCATGTATTGGAACTGTAGGAGCAAACTGACTATATATAATTCCCTCATGGAAAAACAAACCAGAACTTTCTGCCAGATTAGACGATGATGCAGAAAATCTTAATCTCACATTGTTTTTTGAAATTGCATCCCCCAGGATTCTTCTTTTCTTGAAGCAAGGTGAAAAACATTACTTAAGAGGCTAATTTTGTAGGAGCGCACAAATTGGACAAATGAAGACACACTAAATGATAACCTTGGGCATGGAACATTTGTAGCAGGAGTTATTGCTGGACAAGATGCAGAATGCCCTGGATTTGCACCTGATACCGAGATATATGCTTTTCGAGTCTTCACAGATGCTCAGGTACTGGATTTGGCTGAATATGCAACTTTTGGTATTATCAAATCCTACTACCTTCTCATAAAGTGACACTTTGGATATCTAGAAGGTCTTCAAAACACAACTTTCAACAACTTCTGTCACAAAAGAAAAAGAAGTCCAACTCTAACATCTTTTTTGTGAATCATAGTAAACTTATAGTATCATGAACGTACTAGTTTTTTGACAAATGTACATAGTACCATTCCATTGGAGTGCATACTGGTAAGATTTTGAGAATTTTGTCTTGTTCTCAGTGCAGATATCCTACACATCATGGTTCTTGGATGCATTTAACTATGCAATAGCTACCGGTATGGATGTTTTGAACTTGAGCATTGGTGGACCTGATTACCTGGATCTCCCCTTTGTGGAAAAGGTACAGCCTGGTGATGATTTTACTATTTTTCATTATGCTTTCACACATCTCAACTGTTTTTTGTAGCTACCTGATTGTTCTGATAGTTCTTTTTATAAAATATGATAGACATTTGCTTTAGTTTTGTTTTTATATTTGTAGTTTTTATGAATTTTCCTTGCTATCCATATTTTCTGCCATTGAGCGCAAAAAAGGGCCCCTGTAAAACCAACATAAAAACTATTACTATATCACGTCTGCTGCTTAATGAGTGGGAAAAAAATCCTTTTGTTAACAGTATTTTAAACAGGGTCTCTAGTGAAACTTGAAATTTTTATTATGGACTGGTTTTGTAGGTCTGGGAGCTCACAGCAAACAACATTATTATGGTATCAGCTATTGGAAATGACGGGCCTCTTTATGGCACATTAAACAACCCAGCTGATCAAAGCGATGTTATTGGCGTTGGTGGTATTGATTACAATAACCATATAGCTTCATTTTCCTCTAGAGGCATGACTACGTGGGAGCTTCCTCATGGGTATATTCTCTATCTTGGTGGTACATTTTTCGTAGTATCTCACTGCTGGTTCTTTTTTTTTATAATTTTATCTTGGTCTGGTTTCATCATTTCTGTAAAGGCAATAGTGATTGGACTTATATTGAAAAAAGAATTAGCTTTCATGGCCGCTACTCACATGTTGCATCAATGTGCAAAGCATATGAAACTGGTATCATGATTGTGTACAGTCCCATGCATAGTCTTCTTCAAAATTCAATTGGATGTTTTTAAGTTATGTTTGATGGTATCCTCCCACATATAAGAGGTACTTTTGAGGTCCATTCTTACCAAACTTGACTATCTGCAATCTGCACATTAGAACATAAGATGGTCCTCTGCTATTTCTCATGCTTGAAGTAACATATGACATCTTAATAATTTCTTTTGTGGGTATGCTCCGTTCCTTTTATCTTATGATAGTTCATTGGAACAGTGGAATTGTTGAAGCACGATTCAGCTATTACTTATATTTGTGCATGGTTTTTTATGAGAATTTTGCTTCATAAGAATTTAATTTTGAGTTTTGTTGGCGCATGATGAGAAGCTGTTTCTTTGCTTCCAACTTGTGACATAGCCTTAACAAGCTCGTGTTATTGTTGGAAAAATTGGAGTACTAATTAACTTTACAACGCAAAGGTGAATACATATTGTATAATGTAAAAAGTTTGACCTTTCAGAGTAACCATTGTCTTTTACACACGCTCATGTCACTCATTGAAAAAATAGCATTCTCAGAAGTATGTATTCTATTCTGCAGTTATGGTCGTGTGAAACCTGATGTTGTTGCATATAGTCGAGATATAATTGGATCGAAGATCAGCACAGGCTGTAAGACCCTTTCGGGCACCAGTGTAGCAAGCCCGGTGGTTGCTGGTGTAGTATGCTTGCTTGTTAGTGTTATACCTGAAGACAAGCGGAAATTGATCCTTAACCCTGCTGCTATGAAACAGGCCCTTGTTGAGGGTGCTTCTAAACTTTCAGGGCCGAACATGTATGAACAAGGTGCTGGCAGGCTTGATCTGTGAGTTCCTTATCCCCTTTTTGGATACCTTTGTCATAAATTACCAAATCAGCAATTACAAGGTCTGTTTCCTGTTGTCAGATATTTCTGGCCTGCTCGGCTGTGCTTCTGCAGCTGCCACTGCTAGTTTTCTTCTGTGAAGAACGGTAGCTGCAGGAGTGGTTGCCGCAGCAGCAGCTGCCGCGCAAGAACTTCCAATTAGTGCTTTCAGATTTATCTTATTCCATATCTCCATTGTTTTATGACATTAAGGGTGTATCCGTTTAGGATCCAGAGAAGGATCATATTGATCTTTTGCTTTCCCTTGCATTGCTCAACATCATACTCATTGTACCATTTGTTTCCAGCTGGCAGTCATATGAAATCTTGAAAAATTACCAACCATGTGCAAGCATATTTCCTACTATGCTTGACTTCACCGACTGTCCATATTTCTGGCCTTTTTGTCGTCAACCTATGTATGCTGGAGCTATGCCAGTAATCTTCAATGCTACAATTCTGAACGGGATGGGGGTGATTGGTTATGTAAAGGATCAACCTTTATGGCAACCTTCTGAGGATATTGGCAATCTTCTTAGTGTGCACTTCACCTACTCAGATGTCATCTGGCCTTGGACAGGATATCTTGCTCTACATTTGCAAGTTAAAGATGAGGGTTCTCAGTTTTCGGGCATAATAAGTGGCAATGTTACTCTGACTATTTATACCCCAGCAGCTCATGGAGAAAGCAGCCCACAGAGTAGTACATGTATTCTTCACTTGAAGATCAAGGTAGTTCCAACACCTGTTAGGTCAAAAAGGATACTGTGGGACCAATATCATAATATTAAGTATCCCTCGGGATATGTTCCAAGGGATTCCCTTAATGTTCATAATGATATCCTTGACTGGCATGGTGACCACTTGCACACAAACTTTCACATTCTGTTCAACATGTTAAGAGATGCAGGGTACTATATTGAGACACTTGGATCACCACTTACTTGCTTTGATGCTAGCAATTATGGGACATTGCTTATGGTGGATCTTGAGGACGAATACTTTGATGAAGAAATTCAGAAACTTAGGGATGATGTTATACACAAGGGACTTGGTATTGCTGTTTTTGCTGAGTGGTACCATGTTGATACAATGGTTAAGATGACATTCTTTGATGAGAATACCCGAAGTTGGTGGACTCCAATTACTGGGGGTGCAAATATTCCTGCAATTAATGAACTTCTGGCACCATTTGGCATTGCTTTGGGGGACAAAATACTTACTGGTGACTTCTCAATCAATGGTGAGCTGACCCACTATGCTTCTGGAACTGATATAGTTCAATTTCCAGCGGGAGGTTTCTTGCATAGCTTCCAGCTCCAGGAAAACTCCAAAGACGGTGCAAGATCACATAGGAACACTGGATACAGAAAGCACCCAGGGGAAAAGCAAGGTTAGTGGATATGGCCTTTTGGTTCAGTACTTATGAGTTATGAGACCATCTCTATATCTGCGGGTGCAAGGTTCTAAAGTAAATGAAGATCTGCGCTAACTTGGCATTTTTTTAACTCACTGTTGCCTAAATAAAAAGTTCGGTTGTTTATATTACTCCACATATCAGTTTACTAAAATGTATTATTCCAAAATTCTAAAGAAAATTGCAATGTAAGCTTTTGTCCTAATGGAAGTACTCAGTTAGTTTGTACAATTTAAATTTGATAAGTATGGTAGAAGGGCGGGCCTGGTGCAAGCGGTAGAGTCTTACCGTCTGTGACCGGAAGGTCCCGGGTTCGAGTCGCGGTCTCCTCGCATTGCACAGGCAAGGGTAAGACTTGCCACTAACACCTTTCCCCAAACCCACACAGAGCGGGAGCTCTCTGCACTGGGTACGCCCCTTTTTTAAGTATGGAAATGGTAGCTAATCAGCCTGTTTGGTTGGCTGGTTCGTATCGTTGCTGGTTCGTTTACGTGAGAGAGAAGTACTGCTGGCTGGTTCAGATGAACAGTATTTTTGTGAGGGGGCTGGCCAGCCCAGCCCCAGCCAGCCAGCCCAACGAACATGGCTAATATCTTTAGTGATGAGAACTGATAATAAATATATATCCCTTCAAAATAGACCGAATGCTAACGAGCACAGTTAGCCATTTGGTGTTCAATTCTTCTAGTGGATTAAATATGTTTTGGTCACGTTGTATGACTCAATAATCTTGTCTGATGGTAATGGTACTGTTTTACATTATTATATAAATATATTATATTGCTGTATGTATTAATATGTAAGGCTTATTGTTTTCTCTCTCTTGTAGCTCTCCTCAATTCTTGGAGTGATGGAAGCAGGGGAAGGGAGGATTGCAGTCTATGGTGATTCAAATTGTCTTGACAGTAGTCACATGGTAACAAACTGCTATTGGCTTTTGAGGAAAATATTGGAGTTCACTGGCAACAGAGTGAAAGATCATGTCCTTTTCTCAGAGGCAGCACAGTTAAAGTTTCTAGTTTTTGAAAATATCCATCAGCCATCACGTAGAACGGATGTAAACTTTTCAACATACTCAACAGTTGTTGGCAAGGAATTGATCTGCCACCAAGATTCCCGGTTTGAGGTTTGGGGAACAAAAGGTTATGGTGTCCAACCAACAGGCACATCAAGAAAGCTTCCAGAGTACCAGATGCATGAAAGTTCTAGTTCTCCCAATGTAACAATACAAACTACTGACAGTATACAAGATAAAGTTGAAAGGCTTCAAAGAAATCTTTCGACACCTAATGCTGCTAAATTTGATGATAAAAGAGATTATTTTGGATTTATTGGTCATGAGGAGGTATGCATCTTGAACTTTGACTTCTTTAACTGGATTACAATACATGAAAAATAATTGATTTGCTTATATTACTGAAAGAATAATTGTAACTTAAGGGACCAGTTTGAGCTTTACCATCATAGTTCGCACTATATATGTACTAATCCAACAGTTTTTACTGATAGAATTTGATTAGTATTGGAGTATAAATTCTACATAGTAGCAGATCATGCTTTTAGCTCCAGATGATAACATAGAGCCATTAAAAAGGATTTAAGCCCCGTTTGGTAGGGCTCCTCTCCGGCTCGGCTCCGGCTCCTACAGAGGAGCCCTACCAAACAGTTTAGTAAGAGGAGCCGTTTGGAGCTGTTTTTCAGTGAAAATGGAGGATCCCTACCAAAGAAGGCCTAACTATAGTATTTCTAGTCTAGTGAAAAAACAGAAGGTTGTAGTGAACAAATATTTCCCCTATGTAGGATGTCAATGTATATGATAGAAAGAAGTTCAAGTGTTGTTTCTTGTAGGAGTGTAGGTCACAGAGTTGTGTAGAAGTTTATGCATTCAATAATCATGTCTTCTTAAGCGGGAAGCAGTTACTAGCAATTTATCCTCTGGACAGTGCTGGAATATGCTAATTTTTGTTTTGCAGGTTGACATAGGAATGTTAATGGCAAACCAATGGATGGTACCTTGCTTCTCTGCCACTGCTTGTCAGTAACAAACACTAATTGACTAAGTTATGAATACATGCTGTGTTATTCCTTTCCTTATTCCTTTCTCCAACATGCAGGCCTTATGTTGTATCTTAGTTGTAGAATGCAACAAAAACGCCGCCGACGAAGGAAAGGATCGGTGGCTAGTGCTAGTCGGTTAACAAGTATGGTATAATGCGGCATTGGTGGGGTGCTGAATAGGGGTTTTAGCAGATCTAAGTTTCAGGCCTCCAGCCATGATGGATAACCAGGAAGCTGCCATCTGAGCAGCATGACAGAATTCTGCGCAGCATGAGTAGCCGGAAATTCCTGGTGGTTCACCAAGACACATTTTAACTCAGCAACTAGAGGCGGAACTTAAGAGAAAGCTGACTCGTCACTTCTGTGGACACATGGAAAGCTGCTTGTCTGCCCAGATTCAGCAGTTTGTAGCATCTACTGTTGTTGCTTGTAGTCGCTCACAATTTTGTTCACACCACACATAGCTAATATGTAGGGGAGAAGCTAGAGCTAATTATTTGCCATCTCCTTGGGATATGGGAAGGGATTTGGGCTTCTCTGTAGATCCATGAGCCCTTGAGGGCAGGGAGACTTTCCATGAGCTTGGCAGGTACAAAGGAGGCTTAGGCTTATTGTAAAGAAATTTTTGTATTGTTAAAAAAGAAGCAAACCTGATTGAAACAAAGTGCTCTCGGCACAATGGCACCTTTGACTTCTGGATCTGTTTGGACTTTGGACACAAATGTTTCATATTACTGCTCAGAAGTCAGAACGTGTCTGGCGAGCAGACCAAAATTTCAAAATGTTAAACATTATTTGTGAAATGTTCTATGATGTAGTTGCGGACCCAAATTTCAAAATGTTAAACATTATTCATGAAATGTTTACAAGGGATGTCATAAACATTATTCATTTGTTCACTTTAATTTACAAGAAATCAAAAGGACCTCATTATTTGCTCATTTCAATCATAGTAAGTTCAGCTCAACTGAGCTCGAACCTACATAGTAGGGTTTCGAAAAACAGCTAAAACAAAGGCTTCTTGCCGTTCAGAAGAGCCATGAGATGCTCGAAGACATGAGAGCCGCCGTCGCGGATGCCCGAGTGCATGTACTCGTTGGTCACCCAGAGCCGGATCCCCCCTATCTGGGAGGCAGTCTCCTTGGCGATGTTGAAGTTAACGTACATGTCCTCGTAGTATACCGCAGCCGCGACGGGAACCTGCAGGATGCCAATGCGATGAACAAACTAATAAGAGTACCCCACACGCGCTAATTTTCTAAATTTATATAAAACGTGTAACAGACAACAGCATATGCAACTGAAATTCTTAATAGTACTCTAGAGTCGTCTGGAGACTCTGCACCCTTCATGGGAATTCAGATACTAAAGTTGTTTAAAAAGGATTCCAAGTGCTGATAATAAAATTAACAAGCTGCAATCCCAACCGGAGTCAGCTGGAAATACCGAATTTTTTTTCTGGACTTTAAGTAATATGATCATGTATATATCAAATATACTAGATGGCAACTTTTTTTACAGTATGAATTATGGTATGATCCTTATGAAGAAGAACGTACCTTATTGTTGTTCAACATGCTGACATCATATAGTGGAGGCCAGTCTTCCTTCTCAGCCAACAAATGGGCAGCCTCCTTTAGGTCTCGTAGAGCAGGGATCTCATCAAACAAGCAAGTAAACACCATCTGTGCAACAAAAATTGAATACAGGAATTTTAGAGAATTTTAGGGAAGTGTATGTAAAAAAAATGCAGTCAGATGGCTGACAGCTTCTGCTTATAGTTTATCTCAAAATGAAAGAATAACACATGGCAGGTTATTGACATTGCACAAGCTCCTTTTTAACTTAATTTTACTCAAGGGTTCAGCAAGATGTCCAAACAAGTACCTCTCCAGTAAAATACACAGCACGGCCTTCTTCTGTAGCTTTAATAGGATCAAACAAACTTCCATATTCACCATGAATCTTTTCAGCAGACCATTTTGATGAAGAGCCCTGAATCCATGACCATAAACAAAATAAGACTTCAGGAGTGTCGTCGTACCATGAATCAATCCATGACATAGTAAGTACTAGTCTAAGGTTCACAAGTTACCTCACAGTAGATAGACTCGTGTAGGAGGGCATAAAGAGGATTTTGATCAAAACCTAACCACATTTCAAACTAGAGAATATAAAGTTAGGTTATCAGCATTGGAAATATTAAAATGTAAACACTGTACAACAATAAGAGTAATAGAGATTTCACCTCTTTTAAGAAGTAATAGCTAATGCTCTTTTTAGCTCCAGCGACAAGTACAGGATCCCACACCCTCTCAAGCCTGCACTGGACAAAATAGCAAGACATGGTGCAGATCAGATAAATTGTGTTCTTCCCTGGATCGTGAATGAGAAGATCAAACGTGTTTCTTACAGATAATGCAGCCTTTCAAATCCACCACCAGAACCCAGACCTGACAATCCAAGACACTGCAGCATCTTAGGGGTTAACCGGCCACCAGATGGAAGAAGAACCTGCAAAAGCAGTGCTGCATAAGAACAAGTTTCCAACATCACAGATATATTGACTGTTAAAGTGACTTACCCCTCCCCCTTCAGATTCACTTAAGTATCTTACAACCTCATGAACGACTTGTATATCTTGGGGATACCTCTTATAGTATTTCTCGTTTTGCTGTTGAACCTGTTTAAAGCAGGCTCTGTACACCGTATCTGCAGTGCAAGGTTCTCCCAGTGGTGGAAGCCCTCCAGTCAAAAGAACAGATTTCAGGCCTTCTGGAGCAAAACTCAAATATGTAACGGCACAAAATCCACCATAACTCTGCAATTAAGAACATGTAGATGGTGCCATAAGGAGAGTGCTACATCCCCAAAAGAATATATGACTTTGTGAATGAAGAACAATAACTAAACACTGGGTCTTTTTAAGGCTTTATCTGCAGAGGAGCAAAAGTACAGATAAGTTAGCCTTACCTTTCATGCCCCCATCACATGCTTAATTGATGTTAACAACTAACAAGAAATCATCAACCTTATTTCCACTATTAGAAGTTCAGAATCAAGTTGAGGAGCATTTGTCCCATAGTACAAATACTTCTTCTGTTGAAATATTTAATAGAGAAGAGATAGAATATATACATGTCCCCAAAGGCTTATGATGATATCATTGATCTACTAAGTGCGTGTCAGATAACACACCTGTCCTAGGACTGTCCAAGGCTTAGCATCTGGTACAAGACGTAGACGAATAAATTCTGCATCCTTAACTATATTATCCGCCCTGAAATGCTTTAGGTACTCCACCTGCTTTGCAGGAGATGTAATTTGCGAAAGAGATGATGGAGTCAACGGTGTGGACAATCCTGTTCCCCGCTGAAAACAAGAAGGATGTCAACACAAACAATCCAAGGGGAAGGGGAGAACGAACAAGGATGGAGAGAACTCAGGATCTACCCAAGAAATTCTACCGTGCATTTTTACCTGATCTAGCAGCACAACACGGTGGTCTTCACAAGCTTTCTTTAACCACCCACCTGCTTCCGTGGGACGGGGGCTCTCAAATCCAGGCCCTCCTTGTAGGTACAACAAATAAGGCAGAGATACGTCTTCTTTCCCAGCTGGAACAGTTCAAACATGAGGGTCATTAATTTTCAATAACCACAAGCACGTCTAGCTCTCCCAATATGATAAGGAGCAATTCATCACATACATACAAGCCTAAACCAGTAGATACATCGCATCAGCTAAATTTAAATTGTTTCATGAAGTGACTTCACCAAAGTCTTTTCTTCTCCCTTACATTTGCAGGTTGCGACATAGTTTCCACAATTGCATTGGTGACAAAGATCTACTAGTCAGTTCTCCAAACAAATTTGCTCCTAGTTTGTCAGAAACATATACCTAGAATTAAGTTAAGCAGGCTGGCCTGATGCAGTAGCACCGAAGAGCCACTGCCATGATTCTTGATTCATGTCCAAATCTAGTGAAATACGTCCGTACTTCCCAAATAACACACATACACATCGTTCCAATTTCTACCGAAACATAACGTAACGAACGCAACACACCCACACATGCACCCAGCAAAAACTACAGGCCCAACACTAACACTACGCGGACGGTGGATCGCAGTCGGGTGAGGGGAAGCAGGCAAGAGCGACCTACCGGCGACGACCTCGCGCGCGAAGACGGTGATGGTGTCCCCGCGGTCGGGGCTGGAGTGGTCGAGCGGGACAGCAAACCGGTGGTCGCGGAGGCTGAGGCCCGGTACCGCGTACCACGCGCCGGCCTCGTGCTCCGTCCTCTGCGCCGCCGCCGCTAACGACGACATGGCCGCGGACGCTCTCCTCGGCGCCGTGATCCGGCACGACGAGAACAGGAGGCAAACGGCGGCGGGGACGCGGCGGAGGAAGGCCGGGTGGCGGCGAAGCGGGAGCGCCGCGGCGGCGGGGACAGCTGTGGCAATGGCGGTGGCGGCCGCGCAACGGAGTCTCGCTGCGGCCATGCGGGGCGGCCGTCGATCCGATATATAGCGGGTGGGATCAGGGGATGAATCAGCACCTATTTGAGCCGGAAACAGCAGCCTACGTCTACACATGCTAGTGAAGTGATACGGGCACATTTTTGGAAAACCAAAATGAACCAGGGCTTTGTTTAGATTCTAAGACTTTCTCTCATCACAAATCTTTTACACCATTAAATATAGATAAAAATAATTAATTACAGTTTGATTGTAAATTACGATTTAATTTTTTGAACCAGTTGTGCCATGAGACAATAATTGTTAAATACAAATGGAAATTCAAATTCGATTCATCATTTTGTGCGTTGAAATAAATTGGTTCCTCCTTTTGTTTGGTCTCTATTTGTTTTTTTTAATGTTTGGTCTCTATTTGTGTCTCCACCTTTTAATGCATGTACAAGCTTTCATGCGAAATACATTATTACTCCCTCCGTTCCAAATTATAAGTTACTTTAATTTTTATAGTACATTCATTTTACTATGCATCTAGATATAATAATATGTTCAGATACATAGTAAAATGGATGAACCAAAAAAATCAAAGTGACTTATAATTTGGAATGGAGGGAGTAAAATTTAACTGAGTTTGATGTTCGCCATTCCGGCAAAACTGACAAATCGGAATGCAAAACCGAAGACAACGCAGATGGGGCAACCCGATACAACAAATTTAAGAAAACTGTCGGCGCCCAGACATCCTTGGTATTGATCCTTTGGACGGTATCATGGACCGAGCCGATTCGTTTCCTCGGCGCACGTATGCACTCCCCCATGCCTATTTTTCACGCACCCACCTAGAGACCGTTAGCGACCTACGCCCGCCGCTCCTCGCGTCTGGATGGATGGCTACGCAGCCCGGCCCCGTCCGCCTCGCACGCGCACCTTTTCCCCGTCGCTGCGCCCCGCTCCTTCCCTCGGACCCCTCCTCTCTCTTTGCATGGGTGGGACTCGGGAGTCGACCCCCAGCTCACTGCGCCCCCATCTGCCGGTCCCCAGCTCTGTCGCGCCCCATCCCCTGGCGCCTGGTTCATGCGCCTATCACTCATCGTGCCCCCATGAAACACTTGCAACATGAAACACTTGGATGCAACATGTATGAATCATATGCAACATCTATATAAAACACTTGCAACATGTGTGTGAAACATATGCAACATTCAGATAAAACACTTACAACATGTATATGAAACATATGCAACATCCAGACAAAACACTTGTTGCAACATACGTCTGAAAACATTTTTCAAAACACTTGCAACATAACACTGAAAATACTTGCAAAAATATGTAACATATGCAACATCCCGGTCTACTTTTACAACATCCATATGTAACAATTGCAATATATCTCTGAAACATCTGAAACACTTGAAACATATATTTGCAACATAGGAAAAATGAAGGCTAGGGCCGGTCGATTCCGGTCATTGAGGTGAGATCCAGCGGCGGCGTGCAAGCACCACCATCCAGCACCAGCAGCGCCGGCCATGGCTCAGCCTGGCGGGTGGTGCGACGCACGGCCGAGGCAAGGTGCGAGGCGCGGGTGGGGTGCATGACGGGCGAGAGAGAGGAGCGAGCGGCGCAGGGTTGGGGGCGCGGTGGGAGAATGCCGCAACAACAAGCGGAGTGAGGCGCGGCGTCCGGATGAGAATAAGAGATGAAAATGAGCAGAGAATAAAAAAAAGGCAAAGGTGTAATGCACGTCACGTCATATGTCCGTCCACATGTCGCATACGGCTTATAGGATTACGGACGTTAAAAACGATTTGTAAGAGGATTACCGCAAATTTGAAAACTACGATTCCGAAATATTTTCTGGGGTAAACAACTTAAAGCTACCAATTATGACCGCTAGATCTTTGACTATAGAATTTTTTACGCACGCTTAAGCCCCCCACCCACCGGCCTTTTTTTTTGTCTTCACCCCATCCGAAATATTTTAAGTTTGCACAAATTGGTTGATTTGCACCTGATATGTTAACAACTGGATACTACTTTGACTGGTTACTTCATTTCCTTCGTGGTACCAGCACAGGAACGAAAGCATATACACTAGTACATTGTTCATATGCGCTAGTTAACCGTTTATTTTCACCAGCATATGAATCGGTTCAATCACAGGAAAAACATTGGAATAAAAATTCCCACATTCCAAATTGGGTCTAAAAGTGATTGATTACCTGATCTACTAATTTAACATCATCAGAGTGCTCTTTACAGCACTGGTCGTATGCTACGCTGCCAACTATAGTAGCTGATTACAAACACGTGTGTGCTAGAACCGGTTACAAACAGGTGCGTGGTAGATAAGCCGAGCACTATCACTACTCCACTAATCGCTAGGCTTCCCTACATACACTAACTTAGATCATCATAGTGCCGAAACGAGCCAAAAGAATCAAGTAAAATCTCTTGATAAATTAGCTGCCCAAGCCCTGCCTGATAATTAACACAACACCGCAATGCCCGGCAGTTACTGAGGCCTTCGCACGCCTGAAGTGCTGGGAGGCCGAGGCTGACCCTGCTGCTGCTCCGACTGGCCCCGATAGTGCCGAATCGCAGAACTGTAAGCATTACCTGTCAGACTCCCTCTCATCTGTCCCGAGGGGCGCCAGCTCTCATCCACAGGGAGCTCTGGTGGAAGACCATGTGGAGATCCAGCCTGAGGTGTGCTTGGAACAGTGGGTGGTACACTGGGTGGTTGCAGATGTGGTGGCGCCCGCTGTAGAGGCGAAGGACTTGCTGCCCGTGGCACTGGTTGCGATCTCAGTGCCTGGCTTTGCTGCGCAGGAAAGAGATGGCTTTGGATGTCTGCTTGGGTTGGTCGGACATGTGCAGCAGAGGTGGTTTGGCCTGCGGCAGCCAGTGCCGTTTGGTTCATGTTCATCCGTGTGTGCCGCAGTGGATTGAGAGTCGGAGTCTGTTGCATAGGTCTGTAGGCGTTCGCTCCTCCAGCCTGTCCTGAAATTCCTGGTGGTGGTCGTGTACCCATGAGGTGTGGCGCAGGCAGACCAACAAGTCGACTGGGTAGATGGCTCGATGTGTTGCCAATGTCCTGCCAACAATTATGATTATGTCAATGCATGTTGCTACTATGATATATAGTAAAAAAATAGCGAAGACCCTTTCGCCCTGTCATAGACTGTCACTGGCTGCTGGTGCTGGACTCAATCAACAGACATAAATGCTTAACTACATCAAGTTTCAGTCCTAGCGCCACCAACATCCTTGCTAGTACAGCAACAACCAGTCACATAGTATATGCTGACGGCAATACATAGCAAAATAGTGTGTGATTCTTATTAGTTGTTACCAGTTTCTATGGTTCCTTTGACCCCTTTTTCTGAGTATGCAAGAAAACTGTCATTGTAGGAACGCTTGTAGTTGTAGTCTTGTAGGGATACAACACTCCACATACCACCTGTCGGTGCGAAAAGTGATCAACAAGTAAATATTTATAGTTTTGCCGTGCGTTGTGATCGGATGTGGCCTAGCACTCAATGACACAAGATTTATACTGGTTCAGGCAACATGTCCTACGTCCAGTTTCGGTCGGTCGGAGACTTTAATCCTGAGCCCAGGTGCTCGAAGTTTGCTGTGGGGTTACAAACGAGTAGGAATAAAAAAGGGGGTGTTAAAGGCCTAGTCGAACTCTGGACCGAAGGGTTGAGAGTGACGGGGGCTCTAACGTGTGCTAAGTATTGGAGCGTATGCTCTGTGTAGCTTTAGAGTTCTAGAGCTATTGAGCTATTCGAGTTCTCAGGTCGAGTGCTCGAATCGTCTAGCTTCTCTTTTTTGAGGAGAGCCAGAGAGCCAGATTTAGAATAGCCAGCAATCAGGATCGCCAGATCCCCTTTTTAGGAGAAAGCTCATCCCCTTTGTAGTCGAAGGGGATGGGCTCTTACAAGTTAGAGAAAGAGAGAGAATGTATACTATGCTACCTAGTCTTGTTGCCCACGCTGTCGGGTACGAGACGGTCGTCGACTCCCACAATACTGTTTATGTCCAGATGCATGTGGCAGGCTCTACTGTGTTCGTCTGGTACGGCAAATGTCGGCGCCTACAATACTGTTTGGGTTCTGACACGACTAGAAGGTTGCATAGTGCCTTTCTGGCATGGTCTAGTGGCACCGTCCTTCAGGTGCGCAGGGTATGGCAGGGTACGGTCCTCAGTATTGCGGTTTTGACTTGAGCGCCTCATCTTATCTGCTCCGTCTGATCCCCGGGCCCTCACCGAGCGGATGTCCCCAGTCGGTCGTTCCCAGTCGGCCCCGACTGTGTCGGTCGGGGAAGAGCTCAGAGGTTCGGCGTATCCCCGGTCGGAAAAGGAGGTCGGAGTCGGACTATGTCCCCACCTTGGCCAGGCCTTCCGATCGGGGACCAGATCGTTCTCCCGGCCGGGGACCAGATCGTTCTCCCGGCCCGTCATTATGTATCTAGGCCGGGCCCGGGAGGCGCGCGTTGTCGCTACGCCGTCTGCTGGGCCGAGTTTTTGCTGGGAAGTGGGTCCATTGGGGACCCCGGGTTTATGAACCCGACACCACCACTGCAACAGTTTCTTTGGTCAGTTAGTAAGGAGTTTGTGTTAGTATCATTATCTTCCAGTTGAATCAGGCCAAGGGTTGTCATTCGCTTCTGGGATTTCATTAAAATACTATGTGTAAATTATTACTGTTATGCTAATATTTCAGGTGTTATGCAGATTTTCTCAAAAGGAAAAAGAAAAACAATTCAAGCTAGTGGCAAGGTGGCCTGACATACAATTATGAGAAAGATGAGCTAGCTCTGTTGGTTGAGGGAGTAGATGTATACCCAGACCACCCCAGGTTTAAGTCCAGGTCCTTGTCGAGGCAAATTTGGGTGCCTATTTTCTTCTTAATAAAATGCCACCTAGTTCCTCCTAGGTTGATCTAGTTTTTTTTAATACAAGTATCTAACAACTAATGCAGACGGAATGATGCATTTTAAATACCTTCACTATCCTAGCTCAGATGCACTCATAGCCTTTCCACTTATCACAGAATATACTGGTTGCAACTTTCAAGGTGACTACTGGAAAAATAGTTATAATATCTTATGTTTGATGCTAGTACAGATGATAACACAGTGACTTGAAAAGATGATTACCCGTGCTGTTGACTGTAGGTGCAATGATGCAGCAGCACTAGGAGTCCTTGGTAATGGCCCACTACCACTGTTCATTGGAGCAATGACAGTGTCTGGATTCGTCACTTGATGTGTTTGGTAAGTGGGAGAAGATGGACTAGATAGCGGGATAGGAGGTGGACAATTGAGGATATTTGGCTGCAACCTTGTTGATGACCCAGGATTCTGTTGTGGAACTGCCAATGCCTGGACTCCTATTGGCTCTCTCCTGGGATTTCTAGGTATAGGAAGCCTTCTCACTTCTGATCCATGTACTGGACCTATTTGTGCCTGCAACTGTACAGTTCCACAATGTGTTTCCTGTGAAACATGTTGCATGCCAGATGTTGAAGTAGAGGTTTCAAGAGAAGGAGAGACAGCATCTGTGATAACAGGGCGCAGAACATTTTGAGGTAGAATAGATTCCAAGGTACCAAATGAACTTGAGCCCAGCCCACTAGAAGGTGGTAGTAACAAATTTTGACGAGAAGTGAAAGCCATGTTGCTTCCCCCATTATTTCCATCCCCTCGATACAGATCTTCTGTCTGGACTGCCATAGGGAGATCTGTAAGATAGTCTGACACAGACAAATCTTGACTATTCAACAGAGGCTTAGTATCTTCTGGAGCCGATACCCAATCCATTTGCAAATCACCATCGTCATTGCCATTTATCAGATCTATGACATCTGAAGAAGGTGAATCAGTTTCTATAGAATCTCCAGTCTGCTGAATGGCATCACCTCTATTTCTATCAGATTTTTCATCCTGAGCTGGATCAGCTTTCCAAGATCCATCAGCAAATACAAGGACACCAGTGACATCATCACCAGTCTCTTCTAGTATCTGAGTTAAAAGGAAAAGGGAGGTCAGATAGAAAAAATGAGATGAAAAAATATGCGCAAAATGTAACTTGCCTTCACCATCTTTTGGTCAATACGTAGGTCAGTGAAGCTTGAAGAGGTGTTACAGTATGGACAGCGCCAGTTTGGCTTTCTCGAGTTCATCTCCATGTAATTATCATAATCAAAACACTAAACAATACAGCTATGTTATCATTTTGCAATAAAAATTACAGAATCAATATAAACAAGGCAAGATTAAATAAATACCTGATAGTGCTTGCAAAGACGCCCTTTGATAGGAGTTTTTATGCGCCTAAAACTGCGACAAGAGAAGGCAAAGAAAAATTAAGTTTGACATCAAAAGGCAGATCATTAGTATTTTTACAACCAAATATATTAAATCCATTGGTATATGTCAAGCAGATATCAAAATTTCAAAATGTTACCCAACTATCTAAAACTTATCGAGTGAGTGACAGACAAAGCCAGAAAGTTGTTACATTGTGAATGTATGGTCCAGTATTAAACTGGAGGCTGTGTAGTCATAGTCATTGCAATCATATGGGTTCAAGACATGATTATTTCTTTTGCACTCTTTCCATCACCAACCATATGCTGAATTTTTTTATTCCCAACTAAGTAGACACTAAGACTCTTGGTGGGTTTCAACTCTAGCCTACCCCAACTTGCTTGGGAGTTGGGACTGACATGCTATGTTCATCTTTGCTTTAGATGAACAACAAAGAAAGATTAGTTGTTCATCTAAAGCAAAGATTATTTATCCTCAAGGTACCCTATCCTTTCTAGCAAAAATCCATTTAGACCTAGTCGGTCATAAGTAGTTCCTCTACATATATGTTTAGGGCATGTTTGGTAGAGCTCCTCTAGCTTAGATTCACTGTGAAAGTTGATTCTCTGAGAGAAGTTAGTCTCTAACTGAAAATGTTTCTCTATGATTATCTAGGATAAATGCATACAGTGACTTTGTGCATGGAGTGAATCAGGAAAAGCTACTTTTTCAGCTCCTAGCCCCCTAGTTCATTTCAGAGAATCACTTCACAACATAGAATCACTTCTCAGTAACACCCTGTTTGGCAGAGCTGGATTCAGCCTGGAAGCTACTCTGGGAGCTCTGCCAAACAGGCCCTATATGCATAAGACTTCACAACATACAACAACAACAACAAAGCCTTTAAGTCCCAAACAAGTTGGGGTAGACTAGAGTTGAAACCCAGCAGAAGCAATCAAGGTCCAGGCACGTGAATAACTGTTTTCCAAGCACTCTTATCTAAGGCTAAGTCTCTGGGTATATTCCATCCTTTCAAGTCTCATTTTATTGCCTCCACCCAAGTCAACTTCGGTCTTCATCTGCCTCTCTTCACGTTACTATCCTGGCTTAGGATTCCACTACGCACCGGTGCCTTTGGAGGTCTCCGTTGAACATGTCCAAACCATCTCAACCAGTGTTGGACAAGCTTTTCTTCAATTGGTGCTACCCCTAATCTATCACGTATATCATCGTTCCGAACTCGATCCCTTCTTATATGACCGCAAATCCAACGCAACATACGCATTTCCGCGACACTTATCTGTTGAATATGTCGTCTTTTCGTAGGCCAACATTCTACACCATACAACATAGCAGGTCTAATCGCCATCCTATAAAACTTGTCTTTTAGCTTCTGTGGTACCCTTTTGTCACATAGGACACCAGATGCTTAGCGCCACTTCATCCACCCTGCTTTGATTCTATGGCTAACATCTTCATCAATATCCCCGTCTCTCTGTAGCATTGATCCTAAATATCGAAAGGTATCCTTCCTAAGCACTACTTGACCTTCCAAACTAATATCTTCCTCCTCCCGAGTAGTAGTGCCGAAGTCACATCTCATATACTCAGTTTTAGTTCTACTGAGTCTAAAACCTTTGGACTCCAAAGTCTCCCGCCATAACTCCAGCTTCTGATTCACTCCTGTCCAGCTTTCATCAACTAGCACTACATTATCCGCGAAAAGCATACACCAAGGGATGTCCCCTTGTATGTCCCTTGTGACCTCATCCATCCCTAAGGCAAACAGATAAGGGCTCAAAGCTGACCCTTGATGTAGTCATATCCTAATCGAGAAGTCATCCGTGTCTTCATCACTTGTTGGAACACTAGTCACAACATTGTTGTACATGTCCTTAATGAGCCCGACTACTTCGTTGGGACTTTATGTTTGTCCAAAGCCCACCACATAACATTCCTTGGTATTTTATCATAAGCCTTCTCCAAGTCAATAAAAACAATGTGTAGGTCCTCCTTCTTCTCCCTATACCGCTCCATAACTTGTCTTATTAAGAAAATAGCTTCCATGGTTGACCTTCCGGACATGAAACCAAATTGGTTCATAGAGACCCGCGTTATTGCTCTCAAGCGATGATTGATAACTCTCTCCCATTGCTTCATAGTATGGCTCATCAACTTAATTCCCCGGTAACTAGTACAACTTTGAATATCTCCCTTTATTCTTGTAGATCGGTACCAATATACTTCTCCTCCACTCATCACAACATACAATGTTCGAAAATTGGTACAGTAAAGCCTATTCCATGAAAAGTGCAACACAGTACCTTATAGGGCAATTTAGGGAAACTCTTGATGGTCCCTCAAGTACATCAGAATCTACAAAGAGATCAGTACACATCATAACTATAATGAAAGAAATTATTCAAAAGTCATCAAAGTGAAAATGCATATACTGTATAAACTACTGTCATACAATACATCGATCATGGAAAAATGTATTCCTTACAATTCAAATTATGGCCACACTACATGAAGACAATAGATACAGGAGAACCAAAGAGGGCAATGTAAAAACTCCAAACTTCAACTTTTACTAATCTTGAAATTAGAATTACAATAAGAAAAAGTACTCACAAAGTTTAACTCTTACTATCACTACAAAAATTTCATGCAAGCAAAACATATTATTAAAAAAAACTCGACCGGGGGGGTTAAGACTGCCCCTGCAGCATTTCAAATAAGAAGAAGGATCTTCTCACCCGGCCGAGAAAACCCCCGAACCCCCGCCCCCACCCTTACACGGTGGCTTTCCGTCGCCCAAGTGAGAATTGGGCCAGTGCCCCCCCCCCCATCATTGCTAACCACAGCCTGAAATTCGCTCCCACGGGGAGTCGAACTCAGGACCTGAGGAGTGCCGCTGGGTCACCTAACCGTTTGAGCTAGGCACCCTTTGGCTAGCAAAACATATTATTTTGAACAGGAAAGCAAAACATGATACCAAAAAAAAAACATAGTTATTAAAACTGGACAGACTGGTAGCAGAACTGAAGCCAGATTCAGCACAATTCATGTCATCAAATAGATCTTGTGCTTAAGCCATTTTTTAACGCAAAGAATCACTGAGCCATCTGATTTTGCATGAACCAACTAAACGATCAGCAGAAAATTGGGGTTTTGGTACTTCGATGCAACCACGCTGATCACGTCACCAAGGCAAGTATACTTGGTAGTTGATACTAGGAGAACTGGCTGTTGGAGAGGAAAACTGTTGAACCTGCCTGAGCAGATCAATTACCCATCTAGCTTCAATAACTATGCAAATAAGCCCCTTGTCTTATGGGTTGCTAGCAGATGATCCGGCATTTTTGTATCACCTTTCTATGTCGTTTCATAGGTTCATCTGCTTACAAGCATGGTATCTCACAGGATAAACTGATTGTTCAATACAAGCTAGTTATTTCAGTTTTATGGATCAACAAAACTGAACTTTACAGGTTTCATGTGACCATGGGAAGAACTAGAGCAAAAACACAAGTCTATTTTGCGTAGGGCAAAAAAGCAAGTCTCTAAAATGCTGCAGGATATCACAAACAGGCATAAACCAAGTCTCTAAAAAGCTGCAGGATATCACAAACAGACAGAAATTCAAGTGTATGCCAAAAACCAAATATATAGTCAGTTTAAACAGGTAAACTACACAAGTAACTGTCCACCTACAAACTGAGTCCAGCCCCTGGAAACTGAATCCAGTACCAGACACCAGGCTCATTTTACATGCCTCGTGATCATGCAGAACATCACAATCAATCTTGGGTACTACCTCCGTCGAAAAAAGCTTGATGTTTCAGTTTGTCCTAAGAGTCAAACTATCTAAAGTTTGACCAACTTTATACAATACAATATTAATGTTTATAGTACCAAACAAGTATCGTTAGTTTCGTCATGGAATGTATTTTAATAGCATATATATTTGGTGCCATAATGTTGACAATTTTATCCATAAATTTGATCAAACTTAAGATAGTTTGACTTATGACAAAACAAAAACATCAAGTTTTTTGGGATGGAGCAGTCAGTTATTCACAACATAAGGTCAAACAAAAAGAAAGGGGCAGATAGATGATGCTGAAAGAACTCAAAAGGTGTAGCAAGCATTGAATAATTATAGGAGTAAAAATGATAGTCTATTTTCAAAAAAGAAAATAACATAAAAAAATGTAATGTCAGTGGGCACAAAGAATCAAACACAAGTTTAAATGGATCTACATGTACATTTCAATCGAGAGACTACAAAATGCCATTTAAAAAAATATTTCAGTTTCAGTCAAGAAACTAGACGCATAGCATAAAATAAACTGAACATGCACTCTGCACTGAAAGAACTGAAATGAATTTCACCTACCTGCAGGATAAACAGTGATAGGTTGCGCATAGTCATCCAGTTTTGGAGCACTGAAGGATGTCAAATCGTTCACAAATGCTACAGCTATGATATAATTAGCTGCAAAATTAAAATCAAAAGGCGTAAATAAACAATTGGGGCAGATGGGCAGATTGGTGTATAGTTATAAAGTACATGGTGACCAAGCATACCATTAAAGTATCCAACAGCTTGGATAATGTTAGCCCCATATTTGAGCATTTTGGTGATATCAGTAGGGAACTGGGGTCCTGGTTCCTGTTTGAAATGCACGAGTTGAGTTTTCCAATTAAAAAGACGAAGCTTAATCAGAGGTCCAGAAGGCATGGAAGCCAGGATAATGTAACAGGGCACTAACCATTGAAACATTAGTCCTTCTGTCCACACCCCTCCCATTGACCAAAAAGCTGAACAGAAAAAAGGATCACTCATATTTCTTGGGTTAACATTAGCAGGTGATGAGCATCAAAGCAGAGAAAGAAACGAACCTCACATGTGGTGGGCTTGAAACACATGACGAGGCATCTAAATTTTCCTTTTGTACGACAATTAGTCTCTGGAAAAAAAAAGTAAGACGATCAATTAAGTTACTTACAGAACCTACCTGTAAAAAAAACTAAATAAACGGTCCTGAACTTCAGTCACAAGTATGCCCCAAACTGCAATTAGTACAATGTGCAAATAGCCAAATACAACTATATACTTGGACACGACGAGTGTCGGCTCATAGATAGTCCTTGCATTAGTAAGCGTAGAGGCAAACTCTATGCAACCAGTAGTTTTCAAACTAGTGCAGGTAGTCAACAGTCTTCTGGCTTCTATAGTTTGAAACAGATATCATCGGTAATGCATTTCAGTTAAGAAGATATTTAAGCAAGCTAGATGTTTTCTTTCGTATTACCAGGGAAAGCAAGTGGATAGCAAACATAAACATCATATGTACCCAAAATTACAATCTCCAATGCAGAGTGCACCATTGTTTTTGAGGTGTCGCCTAGGCGACAAGGCATGCTATGGGCGCTGGGCGTCGGGGTCGCCACGACCTCCGACGGTATGGCGTCCGCCTCACTCGATTAGGCGTCGACTAGGTGAGGAATGGCGTCCGCCTGACACCTAGAGCCTTGCTGCAGACGCCAGATGCGAACTCGCGGGGAAAAGCGTCAAAATCAAAAGGGCAGGAATCGACCGCGCGTCCGTGCCAAAAGCAAAAGGGCAGGAATTGACCCGGCATATACTGCTCTTCGCGCGCGAAATCTCCCGCTCGAGGCTTTTACCGCGACTGCAGACGAGGGAGAGGAAGAGAGAAGGGGGCGAGCGAGGGGAGAGGAAGACAGAAGGGGGCGGGCGGACATCGAGCTCCGCTTGGCTGCTCCTCTGCTCAAGTCCACCGGCCGGTCGCCTTGCCACGGAGCCGCCCCTTCATCTCCGCATCTTGGCAGCGACGGCAGCTCTGCATCTCCGCACACCTTTGGGATGAAGTCCGCCTGCTCGAGTCCTTGTTACCACCGGCCGTCCGCACGTGTCGTAGTCGCCCGTCCGCACCTGCCCGCTTCGAGTCTCCGCCGTCGCCCGTCCGCACCTGCCCGTCTGCCTAGTAAGTGTGTTTGCCGCCTCTGGTTTGGTCCCTAAATCTCCCAGCCCTGCCGCCTCCTCATTACGGGTCCCCCAATCTCCCGGCCCGTGCCGCCTCCTCTGTTCTGGTCCATGTACTCTGCTCTGAATATTGCTGCTTTTTTATATTAATATTGGCCTGTTACATACTCACATACGGAGGAGACTAATGCCTGCTTTCTTGGGTTGTTATTTTCTTAGACCTTTATAAACAACACAGGGCACAAGGATCTTTCTTTGATTAGTATAATATCTGCTTGGTTCTTTCTTTAATCTTTACATTTAGAAGGTTCTTCCTTTGATTAGTATGATAATTACTAATTAGTAGTGCTCTCTTAGCCATACAGTATTGTGTTGGGCTCAAGAATTGGGAACAAAGTTGTATGTGCTGCATTAGTATCTAAAATTCTAGCTTACACAACGTCTTCATGGCGCCTAAATTGTGCGTATGGCGTCGCCTAGGCGTCCGCCACAAACGCCTAGGCGTTGTGAAGGGGGTAGGGCACCGTGCCTCGCCACAACGCCTCAAAAACCATGGAGTGCACTGTGAAAATGGTATCAATTACCGTCTCATATGAAACTAAACGTTCAAAAAAGAACGTCATGCTACACGAAGTTATCATGTGAACACAGTGCACAGACCTAATAGAGTTGTGGTTTGCTCAATTCATGTTTGATAAAAAAAAAGAATAGGCAATAAAGTACAAAAATTTAGCAGCTAAAACACTAGCATCAGTACACAAACAATTAAAATAACAGTAAAGTAACTTGTTGAAAGCGCCCATTAGCTAACAATAATGTTTTGCCTGCTGAATATGCATGCCATAACATTTGTTCCCTGAGTCCCCGACTATACTTACAATCTTTTCATCTCGAGATAGGTTCCTCTCAATAAAGAAGTCAGCCATTAATATATCATAGCCAACCTATATAGGGTAGACAAAAATATCAAAATCATGTGTTCAAAGATTAAAAAAAAAATTATCATTAATCAAGAATACCACAGCATATGATGATTTCCAAATTAGATAAAAGCTGACATGGTGAATGATCAACTTTTACTAGGTATTCAGCTTTAAGTTGAAAGAGTAACTACCTTTGCTTCAATAGAAGTGATTAGGCAATCAAACTTCAACCGAGGGTAATACCTATAAAATATAAGTATAAATAAACAACAGGACATGTTTGAACAGATAGCTTGTGCTATAGCTCTAATCTATGATTAAGGATTTCAACCTCCTGAGTTGCTGACATGATTTAATCAAGAGTTATTATAATTAACCTTTCAATATTTAACCAAATTATTGAGACTGGTGCAGATTCAAATTCAGCAGTTTCAAAAAAAAAAGAAGAAGTAATCACCAGCTCTATGTAAACATGAATACAGTATTCCAGTTTTTTAATCAAAACACCATATTAAATATCAGGGATATCTTTGGATTGAAACAAGGGTAGAAATCCACATGTCCATCCATGACCTAGGAAAGCATGCAATCGTATTTTGTACTCTAGTTGAGTTTTGTATCTTGGCTTGTTTTTATTCTAAATTGTGTATATTATGAAAAATATGCAATGCTAACGGCAAGTTTTCATTTCATTTTTAAGCACACACATTTTGGATTCAAAAATCAGATATTGAGGGTTCACAGCCACTTGGACTAAAATATTTTGCCCAGTAAAAAGATATTAATACATTTTTTTAATATGTAGACATTTCATAGTATAATAACGTGCCTTGGCATTATTTGTGATATAATTTCAAGCACAGCGCTGTCACTAGCTGCCTGGCCTGTGGATGTGCAGAAGTTGCCAGAGAGCTGCATACCAAGGGGAAAAACACAAATAGTCAAGGTATTGTCTGAAGGCCGTCCCACCACAAGAATGGGCCTAAAAAGACAAAAAAAACTGCTCATGGAAAAATAAATATAAAAAATATTATGTGCGCACCTCATTGGCCATTTTGAAAATGTCTCTGGAATCTGCAGGTTGAAACCAATTATTGGAACAAGCATTCTGCAAAACAGCCAGTGTAAATTACTACCTTAACATTGTTTGTAGATTAACCTGCACATTATGCCGGGAACAATAACCTCAAAAGCAGATTGTATAGCTTCGATATAGTTATATATTTATATGCTAAGGAGCCTGTGACATGGAACAACCCCCCACTCCCTGTTCCAGGAACTTCGGCCCGAAACAAGGAGCAGAATGCTGACATGAATGCTGGTGCATTGTTGACTTGACAACCACCAGCCCACCAGGATTAAAATAAATAAGTTACTGAAAATGTACAGTTATGGAACAGATTATTCCTTTCAAACGCTACAAGTATGTGTATGTTTGGAACTCTGATTAGCAAATAAAACGAATTTTGAAAAAATAGGTTGAAAGTAGCAGTTCTTTTCCAATAAAAAATTTGGATCCAGTTTAAAAATTAGCAACTATGTGACATCTCATATAAAACTGACAAGGAACGAAACTTTACCTTGCAAGATATCACTAGTACCATAAGCGATGATTGTATAAACATTTCTCTCCTCAGGTCATATACCTGGCCAACAATGGTAGATTTAAGATAAACATCAAAGAACAATTGGCAGCCAAACCTCAATTTGTGAACAAATTATACGATCCCCCATAATGTGAGTCAAACAGAGTTGAAGCCTTCAAGGTCAAACCTGGTAATCCTACTCAGGGGCGGATATGGGCCTAGACGCCTAGTGCCATGGCCAAAAAATCTCTTATAGTGGACTATTAGCTTCTCAGCGCAAAAAATTACCAATTTACCATAACCACTAGATCACTATTTTAACCAAGTATACATACATCAATCAGGTACCATTCTCCAAAAAAAAAAAAGACTGATACAAAGTGAGAGCAAACAGCATTACCTTTCTCAGAATGTCGGGTATGTCACCGGCCATCTGAGGAATATTACCAGCTGAGACCGCGAAGTCAATCCCTCTGCATGCGCGAAACACGGAATGTGAGTATGTCGTCGATGAACAGCGCGGCAGGCATAAAACCTTAACCACAAAGGGGACTCGAAGGGGGCGGGGGACGGGGGGAGCGGGAGCGGCGGGAACCCTAGGAAACTCGGAATCGCAAGAGGCGGTGCGGAGGCGCACCTGGCAAACGCGTAGACGAGGTGGGCGAACTCGGCCATTGGAGGGACGTTCATGCCGCGCAGGTGGGCCTTGAGGCGGCCGCCGATCGCCTGCAGGCGGATTGCGTTCACGGACAGCGCCTTCTGCTGCTGTTCCTTGTGTTGCTGGTGCTGTTGCTGCTGGAGCGGCGTCGGCGGAGTCGGGTGAGGCGCCGTAGCGGCGGCGGTCGCCATCACCCGAGGGTTTTGCGCGGCCGCGCAGCGCGAGCGGCGAGGGAGCTGGGCGGATGCTTTTTTGGCTACCGGCTGATACAAGAAAGAGGAAAAGGATTAGTAGCACCATTCCAGAGTTGGTGCAGTTGGGGGGGGGGGGGTTGACACTTAACAGTTGGTGCAGCAATCAGTGGGAGGGATAATTAATGGAGGGAAAATCAAAAGCCCTGAGGAGTGAGGACTGACGAGTAAACTTTTCATTGTTGTAATATGATTCTTTTTTTTTTCCTTTCGAACTTTGTGTTCTGTTGGTGTAATGTTATAATCTAATTCAGTTATTGTTAGTTAGGTCACGCACTCACATTCCAAAGGAGTAACACACGTTGTTTACTGGAGTACTCCCTCCATGGCTCCATACCTCATCCCATATTAGATAACGTTTTATATCCGTTTGATGCGAGAATCACAATCACTAGGTAACATGGAGCCTGTTCGGGAGGCCGTATCGTATCGTTGATTATTTACTGCTGTCTGGTTTGGTGTGAGAGAAAAACACTGTTCCCGATTGAAAATTTACGATCGTTTACGAGCAAGCGAACAGGCTGATGGTGGTTTCGCACAAAATCGTTTCAGATTCGATGCACATTTTTTTTCGAATTACATAAGTACAGACGCATACACTCAACACGCACGTACACTCATCTTTATAAGCACACGTACGCAATCTCTAGAAGATGTGGTCAGCATATCTTGAGATTGACGAAGTTACCACAAGCGCCTCGTTATCGATGGGAACATCGCCTGCCACTGAAAGCATAACGCCGTTAAATCCACACAAAGTCGTTTCAGATTCGATACATATTTTTTGCGAATTACATAAATACAGACGCAGACACTCAACATGCACGCACGGTCCGTCACCCCTATGAACACACATACGCAAAGCCTACTCCTATGAACACATTCGAAAGATGTGTCGGTACATCTCGAGATTGACGAAGTCACCACAAGCGTCTCACTGTCGATGCAAACGTCGTCTGCCACTAAAAGCACAACGCCGTTAAATCCTGAAATATATCTAGGAAAATGCGAGCACCTGTATGAAAAGCTCTAGTTTAGTTTTTGTGAATTGATAAAATCCTAAGTACTAACCTAATTTATCTAAGTGATCATGAGATAGGTAGCACTATTCCTAGTGGCGGAGCAATGATGAAGATCATGATGATGGTGTGACCATGGTAATGATCAAGTGCTAGGACTTAGAAAAGAAGAAAGAGAAAAACAAAAAGCTCAAGGTAAAGGTGAAATTTGATATAAGATTTTTGGTTTGGTGATCAAGACACTTAGTGAGTGTGATCACATTTATGATCGATAGCCGTACTATTAAGACGGGTGAAACTTGTATCGAAATACGATTATCAAAGTGCCACTAGATATTCTAACACATTTAAAAGTATTTAGATCTAGTGGAGTGCTAACACCCTTGAAAATATTTGTGAAAATATGCTAACACACGTGCACAAGATAATACATTTGGTGGTTGGCACATTTGAGCAAGGGTGGAGAAGTTAGTAAAGTAAAGGAGGTGATTGACATTGATTTTCAGTGACCGGACTGTAACACCACACTAAACAAACTACCAAATCATATCATGAGCATCATTTTTATGTGATAATGCATGTGATAGAGTGTGTAGATAAATTTCTTACCACCGCCGCCCTACTTGCATTTGCCCGCTGCTTTGCCCCCGCTCCGCTTTTGCTGGTGTTGTGGGCTCGCTACCACTACATCTAGCTAGCTGTGTGCCCTCCTGCTTACTTACTGTTGTGCATTTGCTACCACTACATCTAGCTACTGCGCACATGGGCTAGCCCTTGCTGACCTGCGCCATCTTCTCGCCATTATAGCGCTGTGCCGCACTTGGCTTGGTCTCGGCTGGGGACACACGCGCATGTTCCCTCTGACCACATTAGCCTATAGCACGCACACATGTGCCATTTCGCTAGTAGCCAGCCACGTCCCGCCAAGGCGAGGACGAGCCGAGCCAGACCTGCCCCCCTCTCTTCTCTGCTGCCATGGCCGCCGAGCCACGCCATCAAATTCGGTATGGTTGAGTCACCATCGCCTGATTCATCACGTCCCTAGCTCTGTCATTAAGTCATCTTGCTAACCGACCCCACCCCGTCTTAAATTGTGCCCCGCCGAGCTCCAATTTTGGAGTTTCCCCGGCGCCAAGCCGTTAAGGCCACATTCGGCGGGCGTGGTGGCAACCCTTCCTAGTAACCGTTCGTGCTCAACCAGCTGCACCACTAGCCTCACCTTGACTCCCTCTTCATCCTGCGCTCGTCAGTTGTACCTCTACCATTGTCCCAGTGCCGCTAACGCGGCCGTGTCGCCGTGGCTTGTCATCGAGCTCGCCGTGCATAAGTGACCAGCCCGGCTCAGGTTGTCTCTAGCCGAACCATCACCTCGACCAGGTCCACGGTAAGCTCTTGATGATCACTCGCTAGTTGGTTAGGCCTGTAGCTGCCCTAATGCACCGGAATGACTGCACCGCCACCGCAGAAGGCCGCGCTTGCGCCACCCGCTCCAGTGCGTCATGCTGTCCCTCACCGCCGCTTAGTGTAGGAGCTTAGGTCGTAGATGGCGGTCGACCCTTTAGGTAGGTCCGCGCGAACCCTAGATGGTCGGCGTGGCTGGCCAGTGCTAGTGCTTGCCACACCGCCGCTCACCCTGCCTCAGGGGCGGGCGCGGAAGAATTAAGAAAAACCCAGGGGGTTAAGTGCAAAGGTCAGAGGGAGAAAGAAATAGTGAAAAGACAGTGACGTAGTTTGGAGCAAGTATGAGGTCTCTTTTGTAAAAATGTCAGAGCGCGCGGGGGCTCCCCCGCCGTGGGCCGCGCCCGCGTTGGGCCACGCTGGGCCAGTTCGCTTCCTCTTTTTCGTAAAGAATTAGAAATAGCTTTTTATTTTTAATTGTGAGCTAGTTTTATTTAATTAATATAAAATCGTATAGGTGTCCAAAAATCGTGAAACTAATTTTGTTAGGTTCCACAAATTATTGTCTATTTGTTAGTGTAGTTGGTTCATACATATCTATGTTGATGCGGAGAGCTATTAAATCATTTGAAAGTGTTTAATATCGTTAGGTTAATTATTGTAGAAATTTTTGTGGTAAATTGGTGATAGTTGTGATCCCAAAAATTTTATAGTAGCTTTATTTTATTATTATTACTATATTTTTGTGCCTCTAGACTAAATATTAGGGTAGTTAAATATTTTGTTTAAATCTACATTAAATAGAATAGAAATAAAGGCATACCATTGATTTGCGAAACTAGGTGCTTGTTAGTTGAACTCAATATTGCTTGATGAAGATGATAGTTAAGTATCTAGTCATTAAATAGCTTAGTAGCTTAACATGTGTATCCTTATTTTAAGAGTTGTTGTTGCCTAAATAAGGCATCATCATCGCATGATATAGAGAACGAGTTGGCAAAGATGATGAGAAACTAGGTGCCATTATAAAAGATCGCAATCCCACTGTGTTAAAAATTTGAACTCAATACTTTGCTTGATGAAGATGAATAGTAGTATCTTAGTCATTAGAGCTTAGCTTAGTAGCTTAACATGTGTATCCTTATTTTAAAAGTATTTTGTTAATTAAATACTATGAAAATGTTATCTTAGAAAAATCATCATCGCATGCATATAGAGAACGAGTTGAGCAAAGATTGTGAAAAATTAATAACATATTTGAACTTAATGGCATTTTCGCCTTTTCACACTGTAGTTTCGGTGAGGAGATCGTCGAGGAGTAGAGAGGAGGAGATTCTCGTCTCGAGAGAGGTGACCCTGGCGAGCCGCGAGTTCGAGGAGATTGACGAGGAGGAGATTCTCGTGCAGGAGGAGGTTCCAGAGCCACTATTGACTGACTCAGCTGACACCGCGCCTACCCAAGGCAAGCCCCATGCATAACCATTATTTTTTATAATCACCGTATATATATGTGATGTATATTTATGTTACAGAAATTTTATAGAAACCACATGCATATATATACCTATCCTATGAGTCTTACTAGTGTAGGATCGAGTAGCTGCTATGATTAGATTTATCGGTAGCATGGGTAACCTGTCATTACTCACAAGTAGGTGAATACTACTATTACTCTCATAATAAAATGATGGAAGGAAAAATAGTGACCGGACAGGGATATGGTATGGTTATTGATGGGTGTAACAAGTTGTGTCCCGCGGCCATGGGGCTTAACTTGGTTACATTGTTTTTCCTGTCCGTGTCGATTGAGGACCATCCGTTGCCGTGGATAGTAGTCAGGTCACAGACTTATTATCCTAAGCACATACTTTTTCTGGACTGACTGATTGGAGGCGGGGAAAGGTGGAGGTCTAAGCACTATATTGAGATCGGGTCTCAAATGTGGGGGCTTATAGTTCAAGTTTGGATGGGGACCAGTACCCCATGATAGGAGTGGAATGGGTTGGTCTTGTTTATGCCTGGGGTATAAACGGGCCATGTGTTTCAGGGTACCCAGCTGGGATACATTGGTTCGTGAATCGCCGTTTCTGTGAGACGGCATGACTTGGCTACGGTCTAGCACCGTAGTAAGAACTGGAATATAAAAGATGGTAAATTAGTTCTGATTGCTCAACCCTTGCTTGAAAGTAGAACATGTGCTTACCTAGAATGGTTAGCTAATGAAGTAATCATGACTACTAATTAAACTTGATCTTATGGACGTACTTCTAGTAATGCTTTTCGCAAACAAAAAGAAAAGAACAAACCCAAATTACCTATCATATCCTTGAGAGTCGGGAAACTATTCCACTAGTCGGGTAAGTCTTGCGAGTACATTGTGTACTCAGGGTTTATTTTACCCTGTTGCAGGTGCAGCTTACCGAGTAGCTTTTGTGTGGAGGATTTTTTTGGTGGACACAGACAGATCCTTGTATCATTTCTGCTAGATGTTCATTTTTCATTCCGCTGTTTAATTATCGCACT